GTGAAGGACTGAAGGAACTGTCCAAGGTCCTGAAAGTACTGAAATGTTTCAGGACTTTAGACAATGTGAAGGACTGAAGGAACTGTCCAAGGTCCTGAAAGTGCTGCAATGTTTTAGGACTTTAGACAGTGTGAAGGGCTAAAGGAACTCTCTAAGGTCCTGAGAGTGCTGGAATATTTCAGGACCTTGGATAGTGTGAAAGACTGAAGGAACTGTCCAAGGTATTAAAAGTGCTGGAAAGTTTCAGGAATTTAGACAAAATGAAGGATTGTAGGATCTCTCCAAGGTCCTGAAGGTACTGGAATGTTTCAGGATTTTAGACAGTGTGAAGGACTGAAGGAACTCTCCAAGGTCCTGATGGTGTTGGAATATTTCAGTACTTTAGACAGCATAAAGGACTTAAAGAACTANCTAATCGATTATTAAATTAGTCATCGATTATTTTAATAATCGATTAGTCGTCGATTAATCGTTGCAGTCCTAAATATGAGCAATATGTGATTACAATAATAAAAGTAAAGTTCTGCGAGACGATCTTACTTGATTGTTCCTCCCTGATGCCAAACTGCTGAACGAAGGACGGCACGCTGTCGTCTGCCAAACGAACACAAAGCACTTTTCTTTTGGACGTGCGGGACTGCCTCACAAGAAAAGTCTGCAGGACGACACAGATGTTCACAAAACGGAGTGTGTATCAGTGTGTGTGAGACGACATGTACTGTTAGTCTGTTTCTGACCCCCGGTGGTTCTCTCTGCAGGATGTGCAGTGCTGTAGCAGGGTTGATTGACAGCTGGAGCCAGACAGGGACTGTGAGCAGGAGGCGGTCCAGCACGCTGATGCTCCTCAGGGAACCCCGTCCCCTTTGAGGACACAGCAGCTTGCGTTGGCACGGCTTGGCGGGCTCTGGGAAGTCGTACAGAGGCTCTGCCTGCTGTGCCATCGGAACGCACAAACATCAATAGTTGACGCCTCGAACGATCCTGCAAAGCCACAGCGGCACAAGTGGTGGTTACGTGTCTGAATAAGGAAGACTCTGCAGAGGCACACACCTGCACAGCAAATCTGCCTGAATTTGAACAGCAAGTCCAGACATGGTAAACTGCAGCAGCTCAGACGGAGCTTAAATGAAATAGCAACCTTTACGAGGTGAGCTTTAAATCAGAGACACAGAAACACCCAGATGCCACATCACAACATCAGACTGGACTAGAGACACGCTCGGAAAACACAGCCGAAAAGCTGCACGTATGAGAGCGGAATGACAGCTGAAAATAGCTGAAGAAGCCCAAACAAAGCTAAAAAAAGCAAAACATTAATTAGGCTAAGAGCAAAACAATAGCTATAATCTAAATTCTGCTAATTTTGGTAAGGCTAACCAAAATTAGCAGAAACATAGCTAAAAGCTAACCGTTGCAAAAGGATGGCTAAGATTAGCAAAAGGCCAGAATTGCCAGAATGGTGGCACTCATATTGCTGAAGAGTATGAGAGCTGAATGACAGCTGAAGATAGCTGAAAAAGCTCAAAAACAGCTGTTAAAGCTAAAAGAAGCAAAACAGGTAAGCTAAAAAAAAATCAAAACTCTAAAAAAAAAGTTAAGGTAGTAAAAAGCTAACCAAAATTAGCTGAATGGTAGCTAAAAGCTAATTGGTGCAAAAGAAAGCTAAAATTATCAAAGGGCTACATATATGTTGAAAACATTAAAAGGGGAGCAAAATTACTAGAATGGTGGCACAAGCTTCAAAGCAGCAAAAATCTAGCTAAAGGCTAACTAGGCTAGCTAAATAAAAAATATATAAAGTTTAAAAAAGCAAAAACTTTGCTAAAAAGTGTCAAAAGGCTAGCCACAATTAACAGAGTGATATCTAAGGCTAAAATCAGTGAGAGGTTAACTAAAAGAGTTAAATGCTAAATTAGCAGAACAAAAGCTGAGAGTAGCTAAATGCTAGCCAAAATAAGCAGAATAGCTAAAATAAAATTTAAAAAAAAAACAGCCTAAGGCAAAAATAAAGTGAGCTGAAGCAGATTTTAAAGAGATCAATTTTTTTGAAGTATTTATTAGAAGATAGGTTTCTTTTGGGTAAATATTTGTAATAAAGTTAAATATTTCCAAAAAAATGTAATTTTTTTAAATCCCTGTTTTTGATTTATGAATGGCTAAAATAGAACAAAGTATGCAGAAGTAGGCTAATTAGATTGTATATAAAAGTATATGAAATAAAAGCATGAAAACAACCAGCATTTATATAATCTGTCACAGATTGTCTTCATATTGATTTAAACTGTCTCCCAACATCTTTCCGGGTGTGCAACACGCATTCCTAAAACGTTTTCCTCCATAAACATGTTGATCCCAGTCTCATGCTCCACTACAGTCATCCTTATCGACCGATTCGGTTCTGTTTACATAGAGTTTGATTACCTTTTGTACCAGATTCTTATTTTTATTCCCTCCAGGCCATACTCCGTCTTCTTACTTCAACATGACAGTCAAGAAAAGTCAACTTCGTTTCCTCCACTCCGGCCTGTCATGACGTGCGTTCAAAGAGCTGCATGTTTCTTTAGGCTCCTCCCTCCTGCTCACCTGGTTGCAACTGGAAATGCACGTCATGCATGCTGATCCTGAAACTCATGTCTGTAGCAAAAATAGAATTAACACTCAAAAATTAAGTACACGTTTAAAACAAACCAATAAGCTTTGTGAAACTGGAGCAAACAGGAATTTTTGTCTACTTGTGAAACAGTGTGTGCTAATGAGATGAAACAGCGCCCCCTTTCGAACAGCACTGAAAAACGAAGACGAAATCGGTGTTGTGCCGAAAATGGACACCCCCTGTCGCGAGAAACTCCACCGTCACATTTTGAGTTCTTGAAGTCAGAAGTGATCGATGGTCTTGTGTTAAGTAACTTTTTTTTCTGCAACGGGCTATTAAAATATTTACCTCTTCTTTTGACCGAGAAGACGAAGAGTGATTCACATTAATTTCCAGGAGTGCATGGCAGCCTAACCTGTCATTAAAACATGTAGGCTACATTAAAATTAAAATATTATAAATAAAAGTACACTTGAAGCTAATAAAAATGGCAAATCTTTAAATTCAAATAATTTTTTTTGTCAAAAAGCGAACTACCCTTCAAACCCTACAAACGGGTTACTTTTTTCGATACAACACCGAAGCCGCCGGAAATGACGTARGATTTGAAATGCGCTAGCAGCTTTTCAGGACCGCGTTAGGTAATGTCTGTGTACCATGTTGCTTTGATTAAACCTTTACCCTCATTTTAATATCAATCTGATAGCGTGATATTGTTTGTGGTTCTGTATGATTTTATCTCGCTGTACTTGGTGATCTAAATTTGACAAAAAAAATCGCAGCCACGTTGATAAAACCGCAACGATTGGCCCTTGGGCTAGTTAGCTTAGCTAACGCTACATTGTTAACAAGATGGCTAGTAGGATTTTTAAGCCAGCTACTGGGTCTTTGGAGAGAATTTACAGCCCGTTTATGACACGGTAATAATTTATTTAGGTATTTTTTTTTTTGTTTGAGGCTAAACCTTGCAGTCTCACGAACTGGTTTAATCCAAACTCCGATTTTTTTTCCTGTTTTCCACCGCGGAAGTTAACGGTGACATTAGCTTGACTGACTTGTCAGTATGGCTGTACAGAACGCTTTGTTAAAATAAAAATGTTGAAGGTAGCTGGTAAAACTCAAACTAAAACAGCATGTTAAGACGGTTCAAACTTTGATATAAATTGACATATATAACTGATTATTTTCTTTTTCTTATTTTTTTGTTAGATGACGTCTCGTTGATACAGACATGAGTGACAACGTGAAGTTGTTTGTGGGGAACCTTCCTTTAGATGCAACCCAGGAGGAGCTGAGTAAACTCTTTGCTCCTTATGGAGAGATCAACACATGCTCGTTGCTCAGACAGTATGCTTTTGTTACTTTGAAGGGCGAGGGGGCAGCAGACAGGTACACACCTATCTATTACACCTATAAATCATCACATATTGGATCAGTTTTCTTCATGTCTTAAAGATCAGTGTAAACTGGTTAAAGCTTTACACACAAATCTATGAAAAATCAACATTTTTATGTTTTCCTGACTTCTGCAGGGCCATACGACATCTTGATGGCAAAGAGTACAGAGGCAGGCCCCTGGTTGTCGAGGAGTCTCGTGCACGCCCACCCAACTCCATCAAAGTGTTTGTAGGGAACATTAGTGCAACGTGTTCAGCAGATGACTTGCATGGGCTGTTTTCAACTTTTGGAAGAGTTTTAGATTGCGATAAAGTCAAAGGTAAAGCACAAATCATGATCACTAGATAATGTGAAGTTATCCCTGCATCTGTTACGTCTCAACAATCTTATGTTTCTTATCCATTTGCAGCCAGATTATGTTCAAATGTTGGCTATGCATTTGTGCATATGGAGAGGAAGGAGGAAGCCCTGGCAGCAATCGAGGCGCTCAATGGGACTGTGTTTAAGGGTCGTCCGTTAGCTGTGGAACTCTCTAAAGCTCAACCTCTGATCAATCAGCTCGCATCAGCGGGAGGTTCAGCGTCTCCTGGAGGTACTGTGGTCAACATCTTTCTGTATGTCAAAAGTACATGAACTGTGCTGGCAAAATAAGACAGAGCGCCACATTTTTGAACATATATTATTTTAAATTAACCCTGTTTCTCTGCTAGTTGTGCAGCTCTGGGAAATCACATTTGCATAATGTTTGGCTTCAGTGTGAAGCTTAGAGATTCTCCTTTTTTAAATATAGGCCTTGAATTCCAGATTACATCACTCCAGACCAATAAAAAAATGAGTTTTCAAATCAGCGCACTCATAAACAACTAGTTTGTTGACAGGCCAGGTGATTAAATCAACACATTTTAACAAACTACGATTAGTTTTGAAGCTTTTGAGAAAGATTACGTGAAGATATTACTTGAAAAGTTCCTCATTGTGCCTAATTTTACCAACACAAGCCACTTATTGTTCAAAAGTGTAGCTCTTCATCAGAAGAGAATCACACACAGCAGGGTTTCCCCTACATGTAATTGATTGTGGCGCACCGCCACGGCTAGATAAAAGCCGCCACACATTCAGAATAAAGTGTTTTTTTTTCTAATCAACGTGAAACAGGAGTTGACACAATCATTGTTTAGTTTGTCCGAGACAACCTATTTTCATTTCAGACAACCAGATCCCACCAAGAAAAAAAGACCTGGATTTAAGTTTTCCTCCGTGGGTGTTCGTCATTGTAAAAATGAACGAGAGAAAAAACGTTCCCGTCTAGGGGTTAAACTGACTGTTCTTTCACCGAATAAAGAGAGCCAGAGTCAAAGTTTTACCCAATCAGAACAGAGCAGGGCGGGTCATGCCGTCTGCTCGCTGCCTTTTTTCCTTTCTCTGTGGGTGGGTGGTCAGCTTCACTCAGCTCAGGACGGTGAACACCTCCCGGGAAACGTTTTCCTGACTATTTTCCACCGAGGATTACATCGTATTTTATAAATATTATATTTCTAAAAGCACCTCGCAGCATTTCCACCGTAACACTGCATGTTCACGAGCACAACAAAACTGCGACAGATCAGCTGACTGGTTTTAAARCGAGGGCTCAGGGAGGCAGTTTGGTCTGCAGCTGCTGCATCTCTCCACGCGCATCGTGGCTCCGACCAGCTCGGGACTTCAGAGTCCACATGTCAACCCATTCAGACGGTTACTTGTATAATGAGCATCAAAAATAAGTAATTTGCGCAGTAAAATCAGTATTAATCACACGCGAGTGGAGTGGAGGTGCAGGCGGACCGCAGTCGCGCGGGGGGTCCTTTCAAGACGTGTCTACGTTTGACTTTTATTTTTTCTAAAATCACAGAGTTCTCTGAGTCAGCTTTAGATGTTTGTAGTTAATCTTAATACCTTCTAAATTTAACCAGGTGTTTCAATGCCTTTTAAATTACAGAATAATTTTACTGGAGAAACTTGTCAGTTTGGTTAAAAAATAAATTATTATTTTTTCTGTGCAGAGAACTTCCTCTGCTATAATTTATTTTAAATAACTATATCAAAGCTCCTCAGTTGAAAACACTAAAATGATAGAAAAGATGTTTAAAAACCTCTTTCCTCAGAAAGTCTTCAGCCCTAAGAACACTAAACTGTAACTTTTAATAAGTACACACTTTACTCCTATTTAAATAAAAATGTTTGACCTGTAAGCAGAAAGTTTATGGATGTTGAGTGTTGATTTTTGCTTTATTTCAAAGAGGATGAGGAGGAGAACGAGGAAGTTCTCCTCAAGCAGCTCCTAAAACTGTAAACATGCTGACTGAGAACATTTGTATATATTACACTTTGTATACAGAACAACATACTTATTAAATTAGATTTAAATTTCCAATATTCCCCAATTCACGTGAGTTCACTACACCATCATGGTTAAAATAAAGCCTAGGAGAAACCCTACACAGAGTAAAATGTGGAATAATAAATAATAATGAGGACATATATATACAGTGGTTTGCAAAAGTATTCATACCCCTTGAACTTTTCCATATTTTGTCACATTACAACCACAAACATAAATATATTTCACTGGAATTTAATGTGAAAGACCAACACAAAGTGGTATACAATTGAAGAAATTTATAGTTAGTACTGATTAAATACAACAC